AAAAAAAAACCCACAAAAAACCAGCTGATGCATTGTAAATGTTAACTATTTATACTTCAAAATGAAATGAGTTATTAACCAACGCTTAATTCTGTTTCCATTGTGATTTGCAGGGGAGAATCAGTTGTTCAGGCCACCTGATGGTTCAGAGTATCCCTGTTCGGGGCCGAATATCAACAATTCAGCCTCACAGGTAAAAGGAAAGACAAGTCCTTCAGACCATCTCAGTGCTTCTTACTGAAGGCATTCAAAATAACTAGCTGCTGTACTTCAACGCACTCTGTACTTCAGTTCTCAATCACAGAATGGAAATGACAGCAGCAATTCCCTCCCAACAGGTCACTTCTAGTATCTAATATTTTTAAGGTCATCTTCAAATACAGGGAAGTTTAAGTGTAAAGTATTATTTCATTTACCTCTTGCAGTGGAGTTAAAGGCAAGGGATGGATTAGCAAGATGAAATCCAGCCAAAAAAGCAAAAAGTAGAGAAGGAAAGCTTGGGAATCCAACAATACTACACAATATAGTTAATTTGATAATCTTTCTAAATTAAAATATGCAAGCATTAAATTACAATCAGTCCATTTATTTCTGCCCTTTTTATTTAACTCTTTTAAAGCATTAGGAAAAAAAAGTTTGGCTTCCAAACATATGTATGCAATTTTTGTGTTGCAGGACACGACCCCGGGTGCCAGAAGGAGACAAAGAAGCAGTTCAAGAACGCTTTTTCAGGCCATACTTTCTACAGGCTCCAGGTGACATGGTAGCACATGAAGGGCGACTTTGTAGGTTGGATTGTAAGGTATTAACTATTTCCTCTGTTCATTCTCACTTCCCATACCTCTGTACATGTATTGCTAGGTGGTTTCATGTTCTTCATTACATGCATAAGCACTTTCTGTTGAAGTTTTAATGCTTTATTTTAAAAAATTATTTCTTATTGCCATTGTCTCTGATCTGATTCGGGGGATTTCTTTTCAACACATGCTGTATGGAATGAAGAACACAGAAAACACAACCCCAGAAATAGAAGGCTCACTCAGAAGGTTGTTCAAATTACTAGATATGTTCACCGTGTCCTTTACCAGCCTGAACTCCAGAAGTTCATCTGGGAATGACAGGTCCTTCTGCTCCATTATCAGATTCTTGAACATAATCCAGAAATGCACAAAACCATGAGAAAGAGAGGATTCAGCATGTATGCTGTTCAAACAAATGTTTCTATTGTACTGGACTGAATTACTGCAGATTAATACTCCCTGAAAAGAGGGAACGGAGCCCAGTGTATTTTATGCTTCCCAAGCACATGCAGATACAGAAATGTCCCCATTTACAGATTCAAATCCCTATGTGAGAGAGTTGTCAGAGATTAGGGTACACACAGTGAACATCCTGTTATTGAACAGCTTTAAGAAACTTGTCTGCTCAAACATATTTTGGTAGTCCCTCTGTGTCGCAGCAGCACAGCAAAGGTGGTAGCACTGACACTGACCTCTTCCATGCTCCAAAATGTCTCCTACCCCAAAGAGGGTAGAAGCTCTGAAGCAGAAGTTAATGCCCTGAAGATGAACAAGATTCATTTACTACTTAATTTACAATGTAAAGTTTACTAGGGAGCATGCCAAAGAATTTGGTTATTCTTAGCTCTGCTATCCTGGCAGAGCTTGTGAAGCCTTAAAGCATGTCTGGTATTGCACAGACCTGGAAGACAGCACTCCTCGTGCAGGCAAGTTCCACTTCCCTCTTTCTCTGGTTTATAGAATATTGTTTGTAAAGCAATATTTTAGACATGAGTAAGTACTTCTATCTATTGGAAAGATCTTTAAGAATATAATAAAGTCTAATAATCTTTCTATAAAATATTTAATCTGCAGTGTTCTAAAGCATGTAAGTTTAACAGCTACAAAGAACTATATAATTCTTAATCAGATTTTACAGAATACTAAGTCATTTGTATGGAAGTCCTTTTAATCCCTATTAAACTCTGTAGTGGTTTGGATCTAGGGTTTTGATTTATACTCAGCACTAAAGAAAAAAAAAAAAGAAAACTAGCAGATTACTAGGAGACTTTTGTGAATCTGATACAGGACCAAGTTTCTTCCTTTCTGACCAGGAAAAACGTAGGCATTTCATGTATTTGTTTCTCTTAGGATTTTGTTGCTTGATTGTTTTCTATCCTTCTGCCTTTTGGAACTAATCAGCAGAAAAAAACAGAAGCTGAGAAATAAAAAAAAAAAAATTACATCTTTTTGTTCTAGATTCTGACATTATTCAGATGGTATCTGGAAAAAGGCTTACCTACGAATGTACTAAAAACTCTTTGTCAGGTTGACATTTGTCTCTAGCTGTTTCCCTGTCCGTTAGGTGAGCGGGTTACCGACTCCAGAGCTGACGTGGCTTCTGAACGGCAAACCTGTGCTACCAGATGGCACCCACAAGATGCTGGTCAGAGAGACTGGAGTTCACTCTCTGCTTATTGATCCTCTCACACAAAATGATGCTGGAACTTACACCTGCCTTGCCACTAATAAAACAGGACAAAATTCATTTAGTCTGGAGCTCACGGTTGTAGGTAAGAATAACTAAGAATAATTTAATAACAATGCTGTAGTTATTTGTATACACTTCTTCCAAAAAGTGCCTTAGTTTCCCTAAAGACAAGTTTAAACAAATAGTTAATCCACTGATAGCAGGAGAGTTCAACAGTAAGAAAACTCATGTGTTAGAGGGAAACGGACCTGGTGCTCAGTCGATAGGTGCACCCTGTTATTAAAAGAGGGCAGTAAGAATTCTCTCTCATCATCACTTCACCTCTCTTGTCTTGGCAAAATGACATTCTAAATTTTCTCCAGAGAGAATACTTAGTGTTTGAATTCATAATATACATTGTGGTCTCCTAGACGTCAGTCCCTATTTTATTGGCTTAATTTCTTTTTTAAATATAAAAAACATGAATCTGAATACTGTTCTGTAA